TGAGAAGGCCCTTCTCGCCTCCTTCCCTCGCTCGCCGCCGATCTGTTTTTCTTCCGACATCCGTCTGTGGGAGGACGTGCCCGACCGAGCCCCAGTCCAAAAGGCGAGAGGACAGGCCAGGTGCGCTCGCGCGGGAGCCGTCCAGGGGGGGGGGGTCCGAGGTGGCCCAGTGCTGGGCTCTTGCTCGGGGCTCGGGAAGGTCGGTCTCCGGGGGGGGGGCCGTTGGCGGGCCCCGTGCGACCGCGAGAGACGGATCTGGGGCGAGACACCGCGCCAGATGGGCCCCGGGAGGGGTCCAGGGACCGACCGTGAGCGGATTTGGCCTCACCGCTCCCCCCCGCAGTTTCGGATAGATGTTCTCGGGCCCCGACCAGTTCAGACCCCCTGGCCGCCTCCAAGTGATGACAAGCCAGGTGCTCGCGCGCCATACACTGGAGGGCCATGCCAAGAGGTACCCTGCTCGCCTCCAGGGTGCCCTGGGTTTCTTGGGTTTCGATGACTTTGCCATGGGAAGCGTGACGTGCCCACACCAAAAGTTGAGGGACGCCCTGGGGTCTCAGGGTTGGGTTCTTTGTGGAGGGTTTCTTGTGGACTGGCCTCCACTGTATCTGCCGTCCTGGCTCTCCCTCCCGTCCGTTCCCAAGCGCGCTGATCTGTTCTCTCGATCCGCGGACGCGTGTCATACAGTCTGCCTGGAACTGCTGCTACGGGGGGTGGATCTCGCGGCGGGGGCCATGAGATCTTGGCCTCCGGGGGCCCTCGCCAGGCCCTTGTACCGTCAAGAGCAGCGGCGCGGGAGGAAGAAAGAGAGCCAGTCCTCCCGGAGAACGGGTCGAGGCCTCTGGAGTGGAGATCCCTGCTGCGAAAAAAAACAGCACAGCGTCGGGGGGTTGTGGGGGAGGAGGGTGCGGACACAAGGGGGAGGGGGGGGGAAGACATCTTGGCCAGGGCCACGATATCTCCCCAGACTGCATGACCCCCCTCTTCTTTCCATGCGTCCCCTGGCCCCCCCCCCTGGGCTGAGGGATAGGAGGAAGGAGAGGTGGAGGCAGAGAAGAGAGGAAGATTAGCAGGGAGGAGGAGAGATGAGCATGACAGAAAGTACATTCCCCATACTTCTCTGCGCTGCCATGAAGTTGCTGTGTGCATCAGTCAAGCGCGCACACCTCGTCCTCGCGCGTGGCGCCCGCCAGGATCTGCGAGACGTCTCCCCTCGGGCGCCCCCCCTCCTGGACGACCCCGAGAGCGGGGGGAGGGATGCCGCAGACCAGCAGCTGGCCCCGAGGTGGGTCCCAGACGGCCCACGACCGCCGCGGGACCGCCGAGGCGGCCCTGGCAGGCCCCCCCCCGGAGGAGCGCGGGAGGTACCCCCCGCAGGAGTGCCCAGGAGAGAGCTCCAGGAGAGGCCAGCATGCCCCAGGATGGCACCAGGGTGCTCTCCATAGCCTCCCTGCGGCAGGCTCGTGCCGCGTCGACGCGGCGGCGACCCCTGCGCGGGCGCTGGAGGTTGGACGCCGCTGGTGGTCCAGACTCGGCCGTTAACGAACGAGCTGCGCTATCGAGGAGGAGGAGGAGGAGGAGGAGGAGGAGGAGGTGGAGGAGGAGGAGGAGGAGGAGGAGGAGGAGGAGGAGGAGGAGGACGAGGGCCGCGATCGCTCAAGATTGGAGGTGGATCGATCCACGCGGTGCCCGCGAACGACGCGCAGGTCGTCCGGGGTCCTCGCCGCCGAGGCTGGCGTGCCGCTCGTCTGCCTCCCTGCGCGCCCGCTCCCCGCATGAGCTGTCAGTCAGGCCTGTCCCTCGGCAGGAGGAATATTCAAAGATAGTCAAGAATAGTATGGGGACGATTTTTCGAATCTGTTCGGACTAAGTTCGATCATTTTGTGGAGATCGTCTTATTTTTCTCCCAACATCCGCCTGTAGGAGGACATGCCCGACCTCAGCTCAGCTCCCCGCGCGCCGTGCCGACCACCTCGCGCCCTCGACGACGGGCGTCGGTCGACCCGCCCGTCGCGAGCGCAGCGGGGGCAGTGGCTTTCAGGCGCGCGCCACGGGCGTCGGCGCTGCCAGGGCTCGGCCGACCCCCTCCGACCCCCTCTGGCCAGCCCAGGCCTGGCCGGAGCCGCGTGGAGCTGGCCCCCTCCCCGCCCTCCGCCAGCCTGGGCTTCGGAGCCACCCCGGTCCTCCTCCTCCTCCTCCTCCTCCTCCTCCTCCTCCTCCTCCTCCTCCTCCTCCTCCTCCCCGGTCCTCCTCCTCCTCCTCCTCCTCCTCCTCCTCCTCTTCCCCCTCCTGCTCGGGGCGTGGCCCCGGCGGAGCTGGGCTGCGCGCCAGCACGGGCGAGCGCACCCCCGAGGCTTCCCGTCTGCCGGCGAAGCTCCGCCGTCCGAGTCGGCCATGCTGGGAGGCGCGGGCGCAGGCGGCGCCGCCCGAGCCACCGAGCGCTCGGAACGCGGTGCGTGCGCATACGATTGTGGAGGACGATCAATGGAGAGGAAGCATGTTGCCAAGTAATTTCCAGATGCCTTAAACATGTGTTGAGCATGTTTCAAGCACGGAAAACTTTTGTTTTAAACATGGTTAGAACATTTGACCAGACATTTTTCAAACAAATGTCTAATTCGATGATAGGACTGTTAGGGTGTCCATTGTCGTGGCATCCACAAGCATACGATGCTTGGCGTGTGGACGCCCTTCGGGTGTCAACTTTCGGCCTTTTGAGAGCTTTCCATTTTGGTGTGTTCTCCTCGGCATCGAAGCCGTCCAGCTTTCTCGTTGAGCTGCCGTTTTCCGAGGATTCTACCTGAAGGAGTATCATGTGCTCTGGAGTGGGCAGCATGGTTGCCAAAGTTGCTTGCCCAGGCGGGTGAAAACACGCCGTGTAATGAGAGCCCCCATTGGACGGCCCAAACGGCAACGCCAGTGAATCCAACACAGCATGAGATAAGAGGGAGTCTGAAGGAAAGGAAGAGAAAGCGAGCGAAGAAGAGGAGGAGGATCACAAGGGAGGAAAAACAATGAGAATACCCTTCAGGCGGGGTGCATCGTTTTACTTTTCCTCTGGCCTGGGGGGTAATTAGTTTTTTTTGTTTTGTCACGCGCTCGCTCTCTCTCAGGCCACGGTTCACCTCATGAGTTTGCTTTCGCAGGTCGGCTCGTGGGTTGCACCTGGTTTGCCCAGCGACTCTTTGAATCGCATGGCAGCTGACAATGTGCAGAGTTGAGGTGGAGCTCATTTGTTGATATGGAAAACCCTCTGGAGGATTATGCACATCGTGGGTCGAAGGCCTCGTGGAACACGTGTTTGTTTGTTTGTTCGCTAGGCAATATGAAACCGATGCCTGGCTCTGCTGACGCTTCCTTTCCTTGTTTGGTTTTCTTGGGTTATGCGTCAGAGCGCCATGAAGCTTGTGCGGAGCATGCTCATGTCAAGCGCAGTACGTGGCGGCCCTTTCCTGGCAGCAATATCATGGCAACAGGATGATTATGTCCTGCGCTAACCTGTCGCACCAGTCGTGCATGGCCACAGCGATGTTTGGCGTACTTCGTTTTTGATTTGCGACGCGCAGCTTGTCTTGTCTAGTCTATTGCTTTGATCGTGCTGACCCCGATCGCCAGTGTGTGTGTGTGTGTGAGAGAGGCCGACGATGAAGATGATGTGTGGACGATTGCGATCATCAGATGGTGTAGATACAGCAGAACTGTTGGCACCATAGGGCATGAGTCGATTACCAAACTTCTTTTCTGTCCTGAGGTGCCGAACACAAGCTGGAGATGGACGAGGCAGCCGGTCCTGTGTTGACCGCTTCTTCTTGCGCTGCTTGCCGTTTGAGTATCGACTTGTAGAAATTGCGTGGCTCACCAGCCGAGCACAGGTCTTTTGGGCAAGGACGGCGATGTGTGGGGATAGGAACTTCTCTTGATCGGGACGATGTCGTGGTGTTCGGGCTCCTTGACTTTTTCTCTGCCTGACTCTCCCTGGCGGTTTGTGGACATCTATAGAAGATGGACGGAGCGACATGGAACGGGACGGGACGGGGACCTGCTGGTGGAGGTGAGGTGGTGGAGGTGAAGTGTGATGGAGATATGGAATGGAATGAGCGCCTTGTCGATGGACCCCTTCGTTAGATGTTCGTTTTGGAGGACCTTCCTGTTGCTCACCCGACGGATATGATGACTCGACTTTGGTTCGAATCTAGCTCGACTCAAGTCCGACTCGAGTCGACGGATGTTCGACGCAGCATCGACGCACAAATGTAGCGAGTGGCCCCCAGAACGAGCATCTGGCCTGCGCGATACGATTCTGCGCAGCATCAGCAGCTCGGCTCGAGGGCAGCACTCTGCGCCGAAGGCCACCCTTCCGTCGCCAGGCGTGCCTCTCACAAGTGGCGTCGAGGGTCTCCTGGCACGGCTTGCTTGCCGCAGGACGTCATGGCCAACACCCGAAAAACCACGCGTGATACGACCCCGCATAGGGTCAGGATCGTTGTGTGTGGAACCTCCCGGCCTTGGCCATGGAGGCGTATACAGTCGTGCTTGGGTAGTCGGCCGACCCTTTCAAATCAAGGGTGCTATTGCGACTTGTGTGTTCGCGTCGTAAAGTGAGCGACGGAAGAACACGGGGTCGTCTGCGAGGATATTCGCGCGCAAGCTTCCCGCGTAAGGTCGCGCCTATGCGCCCTATTCTCCATGCGGTGTGCCACGCTGGCGGCCCACGTAAGCCGCGGCGTAAAGCGCTATGTCTCCTCGCGTAAGGCCCGTTTTTTCTTCGTCGCTCATGTGACGCAATAGAAAACAGTGCAGAGCGGTGCGATGCAAAGGACGCTTTTTTCGTCGGCGGCGAGGCAGAGGCAGTCCGCTCCAGCGTGTGGCTATTCGGGGCAACCGAATGGCGAAATGTCCTGCGTGCGAGAGGAAGGAAACACGACGAGGGCGGCCGCGCGGGGGGAGGAGGAAGGGGGAAGCGCTCAGACGTGGAGGAGTTCCGCGCAGAGCAGGCCGGA